CAAAAAAAAGACAAAAATTGAGATTTTCATCTCCCTACCACCCCCTTGGCCTGAACAAAGGGGGTTGATCATATTGTGGAGAATGGGGAGGCTGTTCCAGGTCATTTCGGAATTTAGAACTTAAAGAGGAACAATTTTCAGTTTTCGTATTAAGGTATGGGGCCCCACAGATCCTTGCTACGGCCCTGAACTTTCGCTGCCAAGTCGGCTGCTAACTTCAGCGTCATTTCGTAATTCCACCTAAAATAGCAGAATTGAATTATCTCGCTAACGACGAGTGTACTCACGAGAACTCACTAAGAGATATTTCAAATGGTAATTTAATAACAGACATTTGAGCGAAGATCTTTTAACATTTTGTTTTCAGATGATTCCCCCTCGAGATAATTGCGTAATCATCGAATGTAGAGGATGTTTTTTTTATATGGAAAATTTTTGGATTTCAAAAAAAATCTTTTAACATTGTCTGCTGAAATCATTCATCCTCGAGACAATCCCACAAGCAACAAAATTACAAATTTTCAAGCTCCAAGTCTCCTCTTACTGTTTATAGAAATATTTCCACAGATAGGCAGTGGTTTAGCGAAAAAAAGGCCAAAAGACCTTTTCCCTCGGAAATTTCGTCAGCCCCAAGAAAGATCTTTTAACAATTTCTCCTAATATCAATTTCAAGTTCTTGTTCTTCTCATTTTTGTGTTCCGCCATGTAAGCCTCTTCGCAATGACTTGAGGAAATCGAGATACGCGGCAGCGTATCGTCCAAGAAAAGTTTTGACTCCGATTGTACAAAACATCAGGCCGATCGCTGCCGTGTATCTATACACGAAGCAACTACCCCCTCCACTATCTCCGAATCATATCCATTAAATAAAATACAAACGTGACCAGCTACATGAAAAATACTCTTAGNTGCAAATAACGACTGTGGAATAGAACTATTTGTTTTACTTCGATTGTTAATTGGAAAGATGATTTATCGTGTGAAAAATAAATGAGCCGAATTGAATTGAAAATGAAAAAATTTACAGGATATAAAAACGATTCCTTGTTTATTTTGAAAAAAATAATGAAATCTCCCTAAAAAAATAAAAACACATGTTTTTGTAAAAAAAACTGCGCCAAGAAAAAGTTTTGTTTGGTTCTTACTGGGAAATAGAAATTTTTGAAAAATACAAAGAAATGAAGAAGAAAGCCAAGTCAGCAATGTCGAATAAACGAAAATAATGCACAATCAGATTTCTATAAGAGAAATAGTTTCAAATCGAATGAGGATTTTAAAAAAATTCTTGATGAAATTAGTATATTTCGTAACGAGTGCAAAAAAGTGTTTTTTGGCGAGCGGGAGGTTTATATCACGAGCCGAAGGCGAGTGATATAATCCCACGAGCTAAAAAACATTTTTTCACGAGTTACGAACAATATTTTTCATCATAATGTGGCGGAAATTGGACTTTTCGTTCACTTTTCGTTCACTTTTCGTCACAGCGTGATGAAAAAAAAAATTAGTAGGAGGACCAACGTTCTTGGCGCGGAGTTTTTCAACTCATTGTCTAGTATCAATCTAATTCTCCATCTTCTGATCCGCGCCAAGGACGTTGGTCCTCCTTCTACTAATTTTGTATCTCATCAAGAATTTTTTTTAAATCCTCATTCGATTTGAAACTATTTCTCTTATAGAAATCTAATTGTGCATTATTTTCGTTTATTCGACATTGCTGACTTGGCTTTCTTCTTCATTTCTTTGTATTTTTCAAAAATTTCTATTTCCCAGTAAGAACCAAACAAAACTTTTTCTTGGCGCAGTTTTTTTACAAAAACATGTGTTTTCGTTTTTTTAGGTTATCGCTTTCCTTCTACCTGCAAGACTGCAATTGCTTCAGTCAATGACGTAGACTCAGTGAATAATGAATAACTCGAGAATATAATTAAGTGATAGATAGATATATCTCTGGGGCGATGCATGCATCATAGCCTGTTCATATATACATCGGATCGTTTCTATTCAACTCGTTGGAACTAATCGCAAATAATTTCTTATTGTAGTTGTGGTAATGAGAATGAACGTTTTTATTTATTTTTTGTTCACAGGGAACTGCCACTGTGCAGTTCGTGACTCAGGTCGTGATAATGGAACAAGTTATCGCGTTGAGCACACAAAATCCGCTGTCATTGCTCGTTAAATTTGGTATGATGGCCTGGAATAGTACTACTACCTGTGGCAATGATAATTGCTCGGGACATGGCGAGTGCCATAATGGAACTTGTTTATGTGAAGTGAGTATTTTAAACATGAAAATTTCAGGACATTAACATTTCAATAAAACATTTACACTCCTCCGATTTTTTTGTGAGAACATTTTTAATTTCGTAATTAGTTGTTCTGAATGTTATTATTCACGAGATTACAGTTAATGCTTCCAATATTCGAGAACTCGGGAACTTTATTCAATTTTGAAATTTGTTTTTTTTTAATGTCTCACATTTGGAGGGTAATAGAGAAGTTTTTGTAATTAAATTTTATTTGTAGAGAAGACTAAGATCCACAAAAAAGGTCTCTATGAAAATCTATTTACAACGCTTAGCTTGAAAGACATGCCGTTGAAATTACATAGTAAAACATTCAACGCGAGGCAAAGGTTGACATTCAAATTGAACAGTTTATTTGGAAAATGAAACAAAGCATTGCATTGTCGCACATGACTGTAGAATTGGAATTATATTCTTTGACTTCGAAAAATTATCTTCACGAAAATTATTATTTATGTACAGGGATTTCCCATTCAAAATAAATAACAATTAGGAATTTGTGACGAACCTTTCGACTATCTTTGGCTCAAAAATATGTATTATTAATTTTTGTTTTAATTTTCCCTTATGCTCCGGTGCTTCAGTTGCCAGGGTCCATTTGAGGGAATGCAATTAAAAACGCCGGTCCGTCCAATAACTAATTTCCTTACCCAAATTATCCCAGTTTTTCCAGATTTACCAAATTTATACAAGATTTTACCAGATTTCACGAGATTTACCAGATTTCCCAGATTTTACCCATTTTTACCAGAAACCACATTTTACCAGATACCATATTTACTTTACGAATTTAATTGTTAGTTATTCTGCCAATTCAGTGTAAAGTATCAGTCCCCCAGATACCAGATTTATCCCAGAGAGTTTAATTACCAGATTTTGGACTGAACGTTACACATTTACTTGACCCGAATAAACTAAACAATTCCCAGATAATTACATGAGATACTTTTGCTCAATTTCTCTCATGAATTATTTTACCAGACACATGACTCTAAATTCTATTAATTATGGAAACGAATCCCTCAGTTTTGGCCGATTCATGTAGCCTTGAGCGCATCATAGGACTTATAGTTTCCATTACCAGCTTTATTAACAAAATAATAATTCATACTTCAAATTAACAATTACACAGAAATCACGCAATATCCACAGAATCTTCTCCTTAATACTCAGTTCCAGATTAANTCCAAGTAATTAACCAGTAACTTTAATTACACATTCCCAATTCAGATTTCGGATTTAAAATCCGCCTATAGTCCAGTCCACAAAATAACCCTCTGTATACCCGCCGTCGATAATCCAGAACAATGTAAACCCAGTTTCAAGATGGCTGAGTCGGAAAATGAACAATGTCATTTCCTCCTCGAGATATTTCGCGAGAGAAAGAATTTCCCACCCAAGAGAATAATTTCCCCCTCCGCGAACGTTCCACCCCGCGTGGCTCTACCACGACAGTTTTATCCGTCGCTTTTAGTCAAAGACTAATTAAGCTGGCTGCTGACAAAAAATAACTAAATGGCTCGACCACAGCACACAAGTAGCAAATGCTAATTTAGTAGCTGGTGACAATTTTGACTCTACCACAGCTCGCGATAGCCAGAGACTAGTGTCGCTGGCTGCTGTCAATGGCTCGACCACAGCTCGCTAGTAACTAAAAGTTAATTTAGCTGGCTGCAACAATTGGTTACTTTTCTCTCCGGCGAGGATCGTAGGTGAACCCGGGTGAGGCCTTCCTGATCGCCCCACCACACCTGCGTATCGAGCTGAGCCGCTGCCCGAAACTTAATACCTTCAAAGCGCTATTTGACTCGCGGAAATAATGCGCCACCTAGGTCGGTCGCGGAACTACCTAATTTCAAAATATTCCCCCGGGAGTCAATAGCCCACTCAACCACCTTTACATTCACATTTCTAAATTCCATATAATTCTCATTAAATTCACAAAATAAAAATAGCTTCAATAATTCACAAAATTTCCAAAATATAAAATCACAAAATCATGAATCTCTCAATTGTGAGAATCCTCACAAATTGATGATTTCGAAATAACTTCGAGTGATGTAATAATCATGAGTTCAACGCGAGGGAAAAACATTCAAGTCCAGAGAGAAAGTTAATTCATTTCCTCTTTTAATTATGAGAATTATGAGAAAGAGTCAAAAGTGGTATGTTAACATAGTCCCGTGGGATGAGACTGGGAACCCACTGTTTTTGCGGTTTTTCGATGGAAATGTCTAAAGTCAGTATTCTACTTTTCAAAGGAATTTTTGCATATCAAACTGGTGGAAATATTAAAAAAATACTCATTTCCAGCAATATACAAACTGCAAAAACACTGAGAGTTCCAACCTGATCCGCTAGAGAGATGTTAGTATCCTAATTTTCTAGACAAATTTTCCACTACACGTATTTTTGTTGAAAAGTTGACAGAGCGATCATCTCTTAGGGGGAGACTTTGCTAAAATTGAAGTCTATGAAAATTCCCTTAGCCATACTTCCTTTATTGCATAATTTCAATCTGATGTAGATTTTTGTATTCCGCAATTTTCGTTAGACTCTAGAAAATCAAATTAAGTACCTATTTTACGTCAAAATTATGGATAATAGCCCATGATAAAAATGTTTCTTTCAATGCACTCTTTTTTTGTTTGGTTCTTGCATAATGTCTAAAAAATCGAGTGGAGCAGACAGACTAAATCTAAAAGATTCATTCTTTCTGAATCCATTAGAGGCAATGGAAAACGAATACTCAATTTTATTTTTTTGAATTCTGACGAACATTGAAAAAGAATCTGAATTGGATGAAAATTATGATTCAAGGAAAATTTTGAAGGTGAAAATGGGAAATAACGACGAAAATTTACTTCATGGGTCTATTCGCCAATCAAAGATCTTTTTATCTTATCGATGTCTGCCTTTCGATTTCTTTTGGTAAATGAGTTAATGTGCATGGATCCATTTATTGCTCATTGATTATCAACGTGAGGTTATCCTCGTTTATCAACTGTTTTAACCCTGTAAGGTGAATTTCAATATCCCCCCACTCTATGGCCTTCAAACCGGAATGCCGGTGTCCCCACTAAAGCGTCCTACTACGCTTTTCACCTTAAAGTCTATAAATTTAACATTCTTTCATTAAAAAAACGTCTATGGTCAGGGAATTTCATCAATTTGACCAGGAAAAGTCAGGGAATTTTTTTGTTAAAACTTCCAGGTGGACACCCTGAAATTTCATCATTTTCAAAAATCAATTCTTGACATGTGTTTTCAAAAGCACTCATTCTTAAGTGAAACATGAATCATTTCCACAGTGCATTATTCAAATGTTTTGCTTTGTTACTGAAATGTTATTGATTAAATGGATTTTTTTTTTCAGATAAAATTTGACGGTTCCGACTGTCATGTCCCCAACTTCGCTTATTACATTGCATTTGCGACAATGTTTTTCATTCTTGCATTTGTGTGTCTAATGCAATTGGTAATGTGCATTGTTGCTGAGTGGCAGAAGATGAAGGCACCATCATTCTTGCGGGCATGTCGGGTTACCACTCAAAAAGTTCTGTACTTCATTGTCTTTTTAGCTTCTGTCATCAGAGGAGCTTACTTCACCTCCCCAGTATGTAATTACTTATTGATCCTTCATCAATTAATAAAAACGATGAATCAATTTTCTTTTTAATTTAAAATGCATTCGAGCATCAATCGATTTCATCAATTGAATCAGTTTCCATTCCATCCTTTTCAATTAATAAAAAGAGAAAGACTCTGATCGATTAATGGAATCAATTGTTTGGGAATTGAGGGCTTCAATCTTCCAATTTGTTATCATTTTTTATCATTCAATCATTATTTTTCAGGCCGCTATCAAGGAAGGGTGGTCAAGAACTCTGTCGTCAACATACTATCTACTTGTATTGAGTGGATCCTCCCTGGTTGTCTGCTTCTGGGCTGAAATATTTCACATTCGTGATATTCGCACTGATAAACCACAATTTTTATCGAAATCCTTCCTGGCTTTCGCTGTATTCAACGTCATGATTTTTTCCCTCCTTGTTACTGAGTTCATCATATCTCAGATCGACTCAGAAGTGGATCAAGTAAGCAGACAAAATTTTGAAGAAAACAGTCACAATAGAAAAAAGAAACATACGTCTTAGAAATTATATTCAGAATTTCAGCAAATACAGAAAATGTCTCGCGTCTTGTATGATAACTTAATTAATATTACTCATCGGAACAATAAATGAGCAAAATGTTTGTGAGGATCTACGAAATGGGCGAAATTGTTTTATTGATAAGAAAAGACTCTTGATATGTCCTCCTGATTGATTTTTTCAATTCACAAAAAAATTATTTTTAAATACCAGAAAACTTTGAAATAAGTCTCTTTTGATTAATTATCAACCAGCAGAATCTTCTACCTATTTATTTTCTTTATAATCATTGTTTCCTTAATGACCAATTAATGTGTGTTATTATAGATGTATTACACCCAAATCTTCAACGGTTGTTACGCATTCCTGCTCTTTATCGTCATTATACCGTTCCTAATTTACGGTGTCGAGGTCTTCTTCAAGGTAAAAACAGCATAGTACAGAAATAAACACTAAACAATTTTCTTCATTTTTCAATGACACAAAAAGTGACCATTGAGCCACATTATAACCAGCATTATGCATATATATATCACTCACTCATTGGTTCATTTATCCGCATTATTTACAGTTGCGAGGTGGATCTGTCAGTGAGCAACATGTTGCGTCAATCGCAACGAACGTTCGTACACCTGAGAAAATGCAGAATGAGGATCCTGTTACGACTAAATTGTTTGATCCAATACCGTCAACATCGGCTGGATCAGTGGATCTTCAACAAGTGGACACTTCCCTATTGCATCAGTCAAGATTTGGGTTGCTTTGGCAGGCATCTATGCTGTTTATCATCGTTGGGTTTTTATTTAGTGAAATAATCAGTGAAAAATGGAAAACAAAGTGAGTAATACATCTTGTCATTTTGTTGGTAATTCTACATTTTCATTGCGTTATATCGATAATTATTATAATTACAGGAGAGTCAGGCAAAATGGAATATATGGCAAAATGAAACAGTCAAAAAATGACTTTTCGACGCAATTTAAGTAAAAAAAATTTTTTGTTCATTTTTTTTATCAACTTTTTTTATTATTGGGAGTACTAATGAGAATAATAATTTTCTATTAGTCTTATAATTCAATTGTTTAGATTAGGTCGATTACACTTTACTTTTTTCATTCGATTGAAATTCACAATCACATTATCCTTTTTCCCCCTCTGGGTCACCCCCCGGGTCTTCCTCTGGACTTTGGATTTTGCTGTTTCATTTTGTTTGCGATTAATCCATTCACAAAATCTTCTCTCGTTAAAATTTCTCAATAATTTTTCATTCTACTGAATGGAAAATTATTATTCTCATTAGTGCTCTCAAGAATAATAAAAGATAATCGACAAAAGTTGAAAAAAAATATTTACCAGAAAAATTTTTTTTTGTTTGAATTGTGTCAAATAGTCATTTTGCCCCACGCTCCCCTATAATGAATGCTTTTATGAGATATTATCAATAGCTCTTCTTTATGGGAATTTTTTTATTATTTATTTTTAACGGAATTCGTCCCAAGAAGATTGCATTTTGCTGATATGACGCGCGAAGGCCTTCAGCCAATTTTTTATTATTTTTTGACAAATGTGATGTTTTGCTTTGAGAGATTATCCACAGAAATTGTAATCCCCACATTTTAATTGCATGATATACGTATATTGAATCTCGATTCTAATAAAATGTAATGTGCCATCCCACTTACACAGTGTACAATCTGAATATGGTTAATTCATCGTGCACTCGTTTACACTGACAGAAGAAATTAATTTTATCAACAGAATGTTATTTGAACCAACTATCATTTGGTTGTTAATTTTCAAATAAACATGATTTCGTAGTGAATACCAGTTATGTCTTCCTGAGATATATTGGATTGGGAGAAATCGAACTTCTCTCGAATTGAAGTTCCTTTTATTTGTCGCAATAGTGAGAGTATTTGATTTCTTTCTAGCCAAAAGTTTGCTAAATCGAGAAATTTGTTGATTTACTCAAAAATCAAAATTATTCTCGTAATTGAATACGTTGTTATCTCAGTTAACACGATCATACGTTGCTCCAAGGAAATTATAATTGAAGTGAGCATTTCGTATGTCGAATCGATGAATATTGTTACGCGAAAAAAGCTTTCAGATTGTAGTAAGATGTCGTTTAGTTGAAAGAAGTTTATATTTCTTGACTTTAAAAAAAATCGCATTAGTTTACAATAATAGAATCACAGATTACGGCAATTCTACACAAACTAGGATATCACAAATTTCATTCAATGTGATGTACGCGAAGCTCAATTTAAATATCCCCTTCAATCGAGAAAACAACACTCAATTCATTCCTCAATGTAATTATCTCTTAGGTACGAATTTTTGATCAATTCATGAAAGTAGACAATTTCATGACTAGAGATTATATTAGTTTACAAAAAAATAGAAGTTTTCCATTTTTGTGGTGACTACATGTGACTTGACGCCAAGGACTGTTTTGTTTAATTTAAGTAAATGTATCTCAAGAAGAAATAATTGATATTCATCGTAAAATGTTATTTATTTGAAATTGCTTCAGGTATATAATACTTGTTCCAAGAAAGAAACATCTCAATAAAAATGATTTTTTCTATCAGTGTAATTCATCAAAACTTGCATCCACATTGGTGGATCGTTATTAGTTAATTCCACATGCTCCAATTATACCTGTCCAATTGCACACAATAAATTGAACATTTTGTCGAGAAAATGCTTAGTAGGTGTAGAAGTACGCCCAGAAATGAGCCTTCGACATTTTTTTTACTTATCGTTGTAGAGATATTTGGACCATTGTTCATTTTTATTTATTTATTTTGATTGTACTGTTATCCTTTTCGGAGAAACTGAATGAAACAAACGGTTCTCCGTTTGATTTTTTATTCGAAAGGAAATCAACTTCCGGTTTGTTTGAATATGTGAGAGTGATGCGATTGAAGTCATTTGCATGAGAATTCGTTGATTCCAATAGAATCAAATGGGGTTTTATTTTAATTGATTGAACCTTTTTTTTGGAAACATTGAACAATTGAATACGACGAAATTAAATGTGTTTCTATTTCAGTGTTAGCAAAATTTCCTGCTGACCGAATGTTATGAATAAATAATATGGCAAATTGTCCACTTGACTCTTTCTAACGATAAAATTTCAGGATAAAATAATCGTTCACAATCAATTGATTGAATTGGTGACAAGAGTTTAGGACAATATCAAGTTTTTGATAGGGGAGGGTGGGGCAAAATGAAACATGGGGCAGAAGGAAACAGCCGAAAAACGACTATTTGACCGATTCGAGCAAAAAAAGAATTTTATTAACTTTTGTTAATTAATTTTTTTTATTATTGGGAGTACTGATGAGAATAATGTTTTATTCGTCTTATAATTCAATTAATTACAATTCAATTGATTAGATTAAACCGATTATACTTTTTTTTCTTCGATTGAAATTCAGTATCACATTTTCCTTTTTCCCAATCTGGGTTTCTCCCTGTGCCTTCCTCTTTACTTTGTATTTTGTCGTTTCATTTGTTTTTCAATTAATCCACTGAAAAAATAGATTTTGTAAAACAATGTGCACCGAAACCTAGAAGAATCAAACATACATGTAACGAAATATTTCTCATATTTTTTGGATGCCATGTCACCTGCATCTAGCAAATTTAATTTATCTCCATGCATATGAAAGGAGAAACAGCCGGAAAAGAGTGTAAAAAGATAATGTCTATCAAGCCTTCCTCATACTTCACGATTGAATTAACCATAACGAAAGGGAGATAAGAGGTTCGTGGCATTTTTAAGTATCGATCTTTCATTAGTCATTGATATCGTTGCAATCCATGATCAATACTACGATTATTCGTAATTTTCTCATGAATTAACATCACGTCTTAAGGAAATATGAAGACTCAGAAAAAAATATACCTAAAGAGTGTAAGGAAACTTCCATTCCAATCATTGTTGAGATGCTTTCTCAATCATTGTTGAGAAAGCATCTCAACAATGATTGAGAAAGCATCTCAACAATGACTGTTTTTTGAGAAAAATGTCAAGAGCTATTGTTCGTTACGACTACCGACATAATCATTCCGTGAACTAAAATTTAGACACTTTTTTATGGATTATTGGATTATTTTGGTAATAATAGAATCTCAGCAAAATGGGAATAGTATATTGTGCACCAAGTGCGGAAAGTTATGTTTTCACCGCCCGATGTGCATATGCTATTTTTCATCCCTTATGGGTGGAAAATTCGACTTTAAAAAAAAAAAAAAATTAAATTCAAATAGAATTAAAATTTAGAGAGAAAAAATTCCGATCCGCCCAGCCGGGATTCGAACCCGGGTCTCCCAGTTACGCGCCGGGCACTCTTCCAACTAAGCTACCGGGAACCACGGAAATTCAACTCCCGTCTCAACGGGAAGAAACTGGCTGTTTATTCCCTAGAAATCATTACTCTCATCTGTCAATTGCTTTTGATGCTATCCGTTGTCCATAGTCCAACTGAATCTTCTTTTTCCTGAGAAACCTAATTTCAGGCCACAGGTTTCCGTGGGTTTCAGTGTCGAAATGTTGACTTCTCAATGAAAACAATTGAAATACAATTTTTCAAAGGGATTTCGAAGAGACGTTTTAGTCTGATTATACACGATTTTTTCAAGATGACAGCTTATATTTTCTCAGAGTAAAAATCAAAACCTTCAGATGGAATTGTCTAGATCGTTTAAAATCGGAGAACTTTCCAAAACTGGGAGAAGAAAATCATTAAAAATACGGAAAAAAATTGCAGGATTCAATTTTACGAGACGAAATAGCGATTAAGGATAATCGGGCGAGGAGGAAATGTAGGAGGTAAGGCGGAGGGGTTTCTATTGTTTTCCTGCAGAAAACCAATCGCTGAACAAAAAAATGTTTCCCATTCGGATTGAAAATTCAGGCAATATTAGGGACTATCTCCGGTTAAAAATTATTTTTGGAGCTAATCAAATTTATTTGTATCTGTTCCACGCATTGAATGGTTTTCAGATTGTTTTTTTTTTAATAAATGGAAAAATATTAATCCATGCGAAAAAGCGGCAACATCGGTAGTTTTATTTTTTTCACCACGAGCTGGTACCACTGGCTCGAGGGAGCTCAAATCACAACGCTTCATCGCTCTCTCTCAAGAGACCGATGGCCATGGTCTTTTGGCCGCTTACCATGGCCTTTGCCATGGCGCTGCTGAGGGACGTTGCCATGGCCGGTTACCATGGCCTTTGCCATGGAGTTGCCATGGCGCTGCTGAGGGACGTTGCCATGGCATTGCCATGAAAAAAAAAAACTTATAATCAAGTAAGAGAGTTTGACCCTCTTGACCCTCGTAACCTTGTTGTACCTTGTTGTGAGCCTTATGGCCCTTATGACCTTACAGGTCCCAGGGGGCCGCAGGGGCACACAGGAGCACACAGGTCACACAGGTCACAAAGGTCAAAAGCCATGGCCATGGCCATGAACATTTTTGTACGTCATATATATTCTTCCTTATTCAAGGACCTAAATTTTTATTGAACAGAAATGGCTCCCGCAAATGGAAAGAATCCAAGAATTCACCTAGTGAAATCGCAAAAAACTTCTTTCCAAATTCTATTGGAAACCCTATTTGTATTTTGCAGTTTTCTTTGGAGAATCCAGAAGATTTTCTGGGAGGTTTTTTATACAAAAATAATAGGAAATATGTGGTCTGTTTCGTTGATTGATCATTTTTTTATAGATATCTCTTGATTTCTTTTCTATCAAATACTTCTATAAAACCTGAGTCGGAAAGCCTATGAATTGCTAATGAAAACCCAAGTGAAAAAGCTACTGAATGTCTGATCGACATTGCCAGAAACCAATTCCCCAGTATTGAATATTTTCAACAAATTAATAATCACTTCTGCCCAACATCCGGTTTTTGTTTCTTGGGGAAGAATGTTCGTTCAACTAATTTTTCCTCCTAATTTTCTGGTTGCTTTTCTTGATAATTTTCAGTCTCCCTTGATGATCTCTTTTTCACTAAAATCTTTATATATATTTTTTTTTTTCTTCTCGTATACCCTTTCGGGTCTTTACGATTTGTTCCCTTCCCACCCCCCAACCCCCTGTACCACATTCGCCGAAGGACAACGGAAAACCTCATTTGAGGGAAAAACCTGCCCAGGTACAGTCGTCTCTTGCGAAACTCCCGCTCGACAATGAAACCGTGAGATTTAGAGTGTCACAAATTTTGGCCCCCCCAGCCGGGAATCGAACCCGGGTCTCCCGCATGCCAATCCCACACTCTAACCACACAGCCACCGCCGTCGGTAAATCTTTATATTTAAATTTTACCATTTTGTCAGACCATTAGATTCAATTTCTCTGTCAATGACGATCCAATTTTGATAATGACTAAAAAAAATTGTTTCAGCAAAAGTTTCAAATTGCGGGTGCAGCTGAAAATTTTTATCATTTAAAAACGGCATTGTCACTCATAGAAAAAATGGAACGATTTAGTTCCTGTTACCGAGGCTTCTTAACCTCGGTAGTTATTCGTTAACTATCAACGAATGGTGTTAATAGTTAAAAAGCCTCGTAAACAGTAACTATCGTTTTATAAGTGTGCGCAAATTCTGATTTTTTTGGACGATTTTTTCCTGTTTAATAAAACCAAACACAATTTGATAATGAAAATGGAGGATGATCAAACAATATCTCAAGGGAAACGACGAAAACTTGAAAATTGTAAAGAAAAAGCCACGACAAAAAGACAAGAAATCGTGCAATTCAAGAGATACGGTTTCATTAATGAGAATTTTTTTATGCATTGGAAAGATTTGATCGTTCTTACTAGAAATGGATGTGATTTGTTTGGGATATTTCTGGTTTTCTTATTAAAAAATGCATAAAAAAAAATTACTATCCAGTATTGCTTCCGAATGGAAGCATTGTATTCATCGGATTTTTACATTCTGTAATTGTGCCGGGAATGATGTAGAATGTTATGAAACGTAAAGAAATGATGTTTTTAGAAAATGTCTATATGTTTGGGTCTGATAGTTCGGTTTTTGGGTTACCACTTTTTAGATTATCATATTAATACGGGAAAATTCATTGATATGAATGTGAAATTTTGACCCATCGTAGGTACTATTAAACTCAAGTTCGGTGCACAATTTCAGCCCGATCGGTTCCGTAGTTCCTCAGATATTCAACTTTTTGTATAAAATTATTTCAATATTTCAAAATGTAGTTCACCGATTTCAATTTTTTTAATTTCAAAATACTCATCTCAATGTCTTCTATTTAGATCAATCAAAATATGTATACCCGTTCATATAAACTTTTCGAGTTGTCCTGTACGCGCGATAAGTTGACAAAAATTGAAATAGGATGTTGAAATTTCGCATGATTGTAACTATTATAATATCAAAGGTTGCTATTTTGAATGAGCGATATTGCCAATTTTTCTTTTTTTTTTTTCATAAATTCCTTGTCCACGCGATAACTCGACAAAAAATTGAAATAGGAGGTTGAAATTTGGTAGGATTGTAGCTCTTATAATAACAAAGGTTTGTATTCTGGGTGAGCGACATCGAAGGAGTAATTCCCGAGATATTGAACTTTTTGTATAACACTGTTAGTCAATATCTTAAAAACTACTTGACCGATTTCATTCTTTTTCAAAATACTCGTTTCGATGTCTTCTATTTAGGTCAATCAAAATATGTATACCCATTCAAACGAAGTTGTCGAGATAACTCGATAACTCAAAATAAAATCGAGATAGGAAGGCACAAGATAAAATAAAAGAGACGTGCCCACATGCGGAATTACACGAAGCGGGAGGAAAATGTGTACTTTGCGCCCGCCAGGGAGAAGTAGAATATTTCTAAAGTCGTGCCAACGTGCGAAGCACGTGAGTAATGGTCCTCTATTTTACTTCCCGTGGTTATAACAATAATTTTCGCCCCGGCGTAGGCGCGAAGTAAGACTTCCCTAAAACTACTCATTAGTGAGATAATGGGAATTCTGATAATTTATTAATGAACATTTTTTTAGGGTTCCACTGTATAGCAGAAACTGGCATGAAATCGTATTCCGACTGATCGAAGTCAGTGTGGCCCTCTGGTTCCCTTGTGTTCTCTGGAATTGCATGAGGTAAGTTAGAAAATCATGCAAAAATATTTATAATTAATAATCCACTAGGGAAAGAAGAACACAATTCTAATGATTCGATTCCATCCACTTGATAGTGAAATGATCTCGTTGATGAATAGATTTCGGAGAATTTCTCAAGAGATGTTTTCTGTGGAGAATTTTCTCAATATCGAAAGAGGTCTGATTGAGAGAGTGTCTTCTAAACTGAATTTGTTCTTGAGAGAAAATCGCAATTAAGAAAAAATACATATTGAAAGGAATTTTGAAAGCCAATGATAATTCCTTTGTATTAATTACCTTGACGATTTCAGCCCGGAGCAACTGTGGATATTGAACCCTAAGAGAATCTTAAAGCGTCTAGACTTGAATCAAGAAAAACATGTCAAAGAAATCGAGCTCCAGGAGAAGAAAGACTTTCCAGATGGTAAACTATTACCTGATGGTCAATCGATCAACGCCAAAGACTGCTGGATCTGTTACGACAGTGAGGCACAAGATGCTGGACCCTTAATTCAACCCTGTCAGTGCAGAGGCGACGTCAGTACTGTCCATCACAATTGTCTACGTAGATGGCTGGTCGAGGTAATTTATTTCTCAAATCAAACATAATAAAAAATAGATTTTTACTTGAACAAAATTTCTTTAAACACCGAAGTGATAGCCATTTTAAAAAATTTTCTCTTTTTCCCTCAATTTTAATCAAGGACGTTTATTAAAAACTATCTAAATTTTTCTGGACTTTCTTAACTAATAGACAGTTATTTCATCCATGTTGATAACAATTTTAACCCACCAATCTCCACTATTTAACTGGTTTCCTAGGTCTATCCTAGGTTTTTACTTTGCCATTGGAATCAATATATTTTTCATATTGTCCACGACTTTTTTATTTTTACAGTCCTCTATCAGGTGAATTATCAGTTCAAAAATAAATTCATTATAGACAGAGAAAATAAATCCCGTTTATAGAAAGGTTTATTCATTTCATTCCGTCAAACCTACTGCAACTAAATTTTCTTAATCATTGAAAATATTGCTTTTATCTATTCATGAATGAAAAAAGAAACGATATCCAGTAAATGGATTAACATCCTTAGATTAGTGATTGTTTGGGAAGTGAATGCGGAGACATTTTTTATAGTTGATGACATTTAGTTTTTTGCTAAAACATGTATCTTTGATATTTGCAAACCAAGAGCATAAAAATGGTCCATATTTTTGAAATACATTCATCTTCCAGAGCTCAATGAATGCAGACAGTTTGACCTGCAAAGTCTGTGGTAGCAAGTACAACGTAGAACACGCCAATAGATTGGACTGGCAGCACAGCTTAACACCTCGTCATTGGTTGCAAACTATCGCCATTGTCACGACAATGTGTGGATCATCCGCAGGTGCTTGGATACTTATTCAATTAGTGGAAGGACCTATCATTCGAATGCTAGCTGCAGGAGCGGCCTTGCTGATCCTGTATGTCTGTATCAGGTAAGAGTCATCCAAGTAATTCCCCGATAAGACATTGCCCTTTCAACATTTTTCTAATAAGTTCTTATATTATAGTTTATCACCGGGGGTTTTATCGAAAATATTAAAATCCATGTAGAAATGTAATTACTACCTTAGACTAGAACTATTTATATCGATTCATATCGAGGGATTATCTTAATTTAATATTAGGACCTGAAATGAGGGATTAAGGTAATGAAATCAATAGGACAACGAAGCTAATTGTAATCGCACTATTGTTCAACATATTCTGAATTCCTTACTATACCATATTTTTACAAAATCTTCCAATTGGCTTTTACTTCTGACCTAGAGAATGGGTAAGGCCGGGTCTACTTTTGTACACATGACAGGGGATGACCCTAAAAGATGAACGAAAGGGGCTTGTGTTTCGGGATTGGCTCTACTTAATTTACAATAATTTCTCAGGGTAATTGTGAGGGACAATAGAAAGGGTGGGCTCTTGTATAGCTGGAGTAGTGGTCGGTGCTGCTCAGTTTCTTCTCTGAGGGGAATTAAAGGGAGTAATGGGGGAAAGAGGACGACCAATGGTAGCGGGAAATCTTTAGGGGGAAATATTGTGTGGGGGGCTCATCTCACCTTGTCACAAGTCTCATCTGAATTTTTCATATTCCAGATTCTTGAGTATGAATACAGTGGTCGCTTATCAACGAGCAAAAGTATCCTCTCTCAACATCGTGGCCGCCGACAACACCACCCAACCAACAACAAGTCGTTATGTTCCAACAATCAGCAACGCAGTAACAGTCGAATTGCCAAAATCAGAAATAGCCGCGATATAAGTACCATTAAATCCCCTCATTAATCATAAATCATCACGAACTTTAACCTTAAATCGTTTCAGTGATTTAACATCAGAATCATCATCGTACATTTATCATAAATTCATCACGTAACGATTGATTGGAACGGAAGTATTAAGAAGATAAAGTTGACATTTGGAGTAAATCTCCGATTCCTGATATTCAGCCTATTAAACCTACTCATTGATCTCTAAAAGCGTTTGATGAGAAAGATAGGGGGAGGAGGATATTGTATAAAGCCGTACTGTAACCTTCACGCATCATATCATAGCAAAACAGTTAGAATCGATGAGTTCAACAATTTTTTGAACCGTTTAAATCGTGAATACCTCCGGAACTATTAATCCATCAGTAGACGTGCGGTTCCGCCAGCATTTTTGAGCGCGGGATGAGAGAATCTCTCGTCGGTTTCTCTTAGAAATAGAGTCAAATATCGCCACAGGCGGCGCTGTTCGGGATTTCGGCCGGAGCCGAAGAATTAGTATATTATGTCATCAGGCGATAAAAGTATTATCTGGCGAATGTGGCATTATAATGCTTTTATCGCCGTGTGACACACGATATTTTATGTCGTTGGGCCCGAAAACCGCGATCGCCGTTTTTTCGGGCCTAATGACATAAAAATTTTTTTTTCTACTCAACCCTGATCGATAGATGACTTTTATTACTACCAGAGTCAACTCGAAGAGTTACTCGACGCATTAAAAAAATTTCAGTAAAATATTTGCACTTTTAAGGGTATATTTCCTATGGAGTGAAAAGTTTTGTGAGAGAAAGTCTCATAGCGCGCCTATAGAGGAGTTGACCCGTTTAATGAAAATTTCAAAAGTGCTGCCTTGTCAAAGAGATAATTTCACATAAAAAAGGTTTTGGAGTTTCCCTTGAACCCAATAGTTCTTGAGATATTCTCACGATGAGCAGGGAATGTATTTTAAATTTGTCTTTTTCCACTAATTTTCCACATTTAACATTTTTCTCCTCATTTTCATGCCTATTGCGTTTCATATCAGTGTAAAAAATGTAGTCACATGTTACACTGATTGACCACATTATGTAGTCAATTATCGGTGAACATTGATTGATAAGATACAACAGCCATCGTAAATTAAGTTAATAATGCATAAAGGTATTAATCAGACAAGTGTAACCCACCCCATTAATATTACCTTTTTTATCATTCACGATAATGACCAATAATTTTCATTGGTTTATTACTTTCATCTTCCAAACTCTAATGCACTCTTATTACTGGGGAGCATTATACTTAATTGACTGTCAAAACTTTTACCATTAACAGATTAAGAGAACAATTTGATGTGTAATCAATGGTTTAATGTTTCATAAAAAATATTTTCTCTTTTTTTTCTTCATTTAAACGATTCAATTATCCAAAAATTTAAACTGCAGTATTAATTAGGGGAAATAGTGACTGAGTCACAATAACACGGAATTTATATAGGAGAATGGAGATGTTTTGGATATCCAGCCAAATATCTGAAAAAGAGTTGAGTTTATAATTTTTGTGAATTTTGTTTCGCAGATATGTTTGAAACTGATAAATTGAGACGAGAAAATTTATAACACAGAATATCTTTTGACATTTTCTCTTAAAATCAGTAGTTAATGAGATATTCTTTGTGTAATTAACAGACGATCTTAAAGTAGCTCTATCCCTATGGCTGGACTCGTTGAGTGCTTTTGAAAAAAAAAGATTCTAAAAATAATTTTTTTGATGTCTAAATTATTAAAATAATTCTTAAAGGACATAAGCATAAGAATTATTTCATTATTAATTGTTTTCAATAAAAGTATGAATGAATAGATTTTCAATTGACTAGCTTGGAAAAATTAGTGACAACACTGTAGGTGAGAAAGGTCGGAAAGGTCCCGCCAAGTGACAGTTGATCGAGCCGTCGTTGCCACGTCTACTCCTGTTCAAAATCTCCCGTGATTCTGGTTGGAAATTGTTAATAATAAAAAAAAATAAAAGATACATCGTTATCCAACAGGTGCCAATATTTTTTAAAATTTTTTCCTTGTTTTTAGGAAAAAAATTAGATTTTAATCTTTGTTTTAATCGGAGCTGTGTTAAATAATCAATTTTCAACATTTTCATTTAGAAAAACTTGAACGACAGTTAAATGAGGAAAAAAATTGCGATTCCGAATCACAGAGTTTTTAGGCGATTTGTTGTAGTTTTTTAAAAATCTTTGAATTGAAATATAACCTCCTAAGGGTAGAGCTACTTTAAGGGGTAACGGAACCCGTCGCACGCAGAGGTTAGGGGTCCCCCCTATCGGTATTGCAGGTTCCCGTGGTTTTTTGGATTTTGTACGTGAAAAGCACAAAATCCCATAAAATATAAATAAATAGATATAAATAAATAATAATGGTATGGAAACATTCTACATCATCTTCTGACTCGTAAAAGTACTTCCCTCTTACAATTGGTGCCCTGTAAAGGACATGTTACCTCCTGGATACCACCCAATCATCATAAACAAGTTTTTACGAAAATTACGCAACAAAAGTACGTTTTTGTACTCAAAATCTCTGTCTTGGACCTCACTCGATCGCTCTCTTCTCATGAAAATAGCCATCGGCTAAGAAAAATCTACAAAAAATCGGTTTTTCTACCATGATTTGGCAGATTCCTATAAATAAAATGGCGTCGGCCTTGCCCTGGTCCTTGCCGTTAAATAATTTGTAATTTTTTTTTGCATAAATAAGAAAAGCATGAGAAGAGAGCGATGCGTTCCGCTACTCTCAATACGGGGAAAAAGTTTCATTGATTCTCATTGCATAGAATCCAAGAAAACTTGTTTTTGGTAGACGTCTTTTTGTAGTCGGTTCCGTTACCCCTTAAGTCGAATCTGCAAATTGTACAGTTTTGTTATTAGTTTCGAACATTTTTCTGCAATAATCTAAAAAAACTTCGCCTCATTTATCTTTATCACTTGACTACTAGATTTACTTTAGATTTACTTTACTTTATTTATTATGTGAAATTACATTGTAACAATTTAACCATAGGTTTTTTTTTTTTAATTAAAAATGTAGATTAAGAAAAATGATCTGCTAAATTCAAAAAGAGTTTCCTCGAATTAGAAACCAGTGTATCGATGTACTTTTCACGTAGAAACAAAGCAAAAAATATGAACATCAATTACTGAAGAAGATAATGGGAGAGTTTCTCAATTCACAATCAATCGACGATAATGAGACAATTGAGTGTAACTAGGTGCTCATTAGCCAACGGTTTTATGTCGTACCTCAGGGCCGATGTATTAATTCGATCCGTTTGATTTATTGAAGGCTTTTAAATTTCTGGTACGAAATGTCAAATGAGATGGGTCGAACATCTTGGTAGCGATTATTTCGTTGATATCTCACGCGTTTATGGAAGTTTATTGAATACATTTTTTGTAGCTGAAATTTTTTTTTTACAACAAATGCCTGCTGATATTTTTTCCAGGAGTCAAAGGTTGGCAAGATATTTCTGTAATTAAAACCAGTATGTAATTATTGATTCCATTCGTTAAAGAAATATTTTCGAAATAATGTGTCAATTGATTTTAGATTTATCTTTATCATTTTACTGTTGCTTTGATTGAGTAGGTATTATTGCAGCAGGGATTTCTCTCTCCCTGCTGTTTTTTTATGCGTACATAATTGAAAATATCGATATTATAGGGTAGAGATAGAAATAGTCAAGGTGTAAGGCGTAGCAAATAAGTTGTGATAATAAAAAGAGTGTATGGAAAGAGCAGAATAATCATTGAATAAATACAGTCATCGCTAAAATTCTCGCATTACTTACCTTGTGATTAGTACCATTATTTTAGGGAGAATATTCTACCAAGACGCCTAAGAAAGTTTAAATTTTTGGATTTGTCTTCGCACGATTTTTATTCAATTAAATAGAAAAAGAATTACTTTCGAGCATTTTCATCTTGCAGCACTTTGCCACGACACTGACGTGTCATTGGGACCCTCGTTAAATTACCATGTAACAGAAAAATATTCCTCATTTCTTGAAGGAAACAACTTTACCTAACTTTCATTAGATTTGTTCATGGAGATACAGGGTGTCTCAAGGCCTTTGACGGAATTTTAAAGTAGTTCTACCCGTACGGTAAATTGAAAGATTATTGGAACCTGAAAAAAACTTCCACAAAACTTAATTAGATTCGAAATCCTGATTCTTTTCTCAATTTAATTATCGTTTTGGTTTTTCAAAGAAGAAATCTTTAAAAATCAGGATTTAACCCAGTGTCTTATGTGAAAATCCATATTTCTATTGTAATCAAAGATTAAAATCTGATTTTTTTTCATTAGATGTGAAAAACATCAAGTAATTTTTTGACACCTCAGAAAAAAGGATCCACTATTTTGCAACAAGATCTATTATTTATTTATAAGAAGGGAATGTTTAAAAAAGTATGAATATCTCGCGAAACTTAATTTAGATGATACTGACTGAGTATGACTTTTTTCAAATTTTTCCCATGCAATTTTGTTGACAAATTCAAAAACTGAAAATATCCGAAAGTGCAGTGTTAACCCAGCCGAAGGGTAGAGCTACTTCAAGGGATATAGAAGGATGAAATTATCATTTTACACCGTCTTGCATACACCTCTTTCAATTTTGGTTCAATTTTGGGACTCCCTGTATGCACAATTTTCACAACAGATCTAAAATATGGGATTTTCCGAAACGATTGAGAAGAAAAATTCTAAGGTTCAATTATTATTTCTGTATTCTAGTAATAACACGTCAAGAAAAAGTAAAAGCGAACCAATTTCTATTAAAAAGAACTGTTCTTCTTTCAATTTTTCTTCTACAGCTACGGGTTCACCAGTTTCTTGATTTCATCACTGGGAAAACCATTTCCCAGAGACAAATGGAGCAGAACGGACACTCTTCTTTGTGCAAAATGTTAAAGAACTATTGAGCAGGTAATGAATCGGAATTTTGTCCCATTTTGTCCCACCTCTATTATTTATTAACTCTATTCATTGTGATTTTCAT